AGTGTTGCCTGGTACAGCAGTGTAGCCTGATACAGCAGTGTTGCCTGGTACAGCTGTATAGCCTGATACAGCAGTGTAGCCCGGTACAGCTGTATAGCCTGGTACAGCAGTGTAGCCTGGCACAGCTGTATAGCCTCATACAGCAGTGTAGCCTGGTACAACAGTGTAGCCTTATACAGCAGTGTGGCCGGCACAGCTGTATAGCCTGATACAGCAGTGTAGCCTGGTACAGCAGTGTAGCCTTATACAGCAGTGTAGCCTGGTACAGCAGTAGCCTTATACAGCAGTGTAGCCTGGTACAGCAGTGTAGCCTGGTACAGCAGTGTAGCCTGGTACAGCAGTGTAGCCTGGCACAGTTGTATAGCCTGATGCAGCAGTGTAGCCTGGTACAACAGTGTAGCCTGGCACAGCAGTGTAGCCTGATACAGCAGTGTAGCCTGGTACAGCTGTATAGCCTGATACAGCAGTGTAGCCTGGTACAGCAGTGTAGCCTGGTAAAGCAGTGTAGCCTGGTACAGCTGTATACTGATACAGTAGTGAGCCTGGTACAGCTGTATAGCCTGATACAGCAGTGTAGCCTGGATACAGCTGTATAGCCTGATACAGCAGTGTAGCCTGGTACAGCAGTGTAGCCTGGTACAGCAGTGTAGCCTGGTACAGCAGTGTAGCCTGGTACAGCAGTGTAGCCTGGTACAGCAGTGTAGCCTGATACAGCTGTGTAGCCTGGTACAGCAGTGTACCTTGGTGCGCACAGTGAACTGGTGCAGCACAGTACCTTGGTGCAGCACAGTACCCTGGTGCAGCATAGTGTACCCTCGTGCAGCCAGTGTACCCTGGCGAAGCACAGTGAACCCTGGTGCAGCACAGTGTACCTTGGTGCAGCACTAGCACCTTGGTGCACAGTGTACCTTGGTGCAGCATAGTGCACCTTGGTGCAGCACAGTGTACCTTGGTGCAGCACAGTGCACCTTGGTGCAGCACAGCGTACCTTGCGCAGTACAGTGTACCTTGGTGCATCATAGTGAACCTTGGTGCAGCAGGTACCCTGGTGCAGCACTAGTGTACCCTGGTGCAGCACAGTGTACCCTGGTGCAGCACGTACCTTGGTGCAGATCAGTGGTACCTTGCGCAGCACAGTGTACCCTGGTGCAGCACAGTGTACCCTGATGCGTTACTGCGTACCCCTGGTACAGCACAGGTATCTGGCGACAGTATTCCGGTGCAGCACAGCGTACCCTGGTGCAGCACGTGCACCTGGTAGCACTGTACCCTGGTGCAGCACAGTAACCCTGGTGCGCACAGTGTACCTTGGTGCAGCACAGGTACCCTGGTGCAGCACAGTGTACCCTGGTGCAGCACGGTATCTTGTGCAGCACAGTGTACCTTGGTGCAACAGTGTACCCTGGTGAGCACTGTGTACCCTGGTGCAGCACAGTGTTCCTTGGTGCGGGCACAGTAAACCCTGGTGCAGCACAGTACCCCTGGTGCACCACGGCGTACCCTGGTGCAGCACGGTGTACCTTGGTGCAGCACAGTACCCTGGTGCAGCACAGTGTACCCTGGTGCAGCACAGTGTCTTTGCGCAGCACAGTAAACCCTGGTGCAGCACAGTGTACCTTGGTGCAGCACAGTGCACCCTGGTGCAGCACAGTGTTCCTGGTGCAGCACAGTACCTGGTGCAGCACAGTGTACCCCTGGTGCAGCACGAAATTTTGCGCAGCACAGTGTACCCTGGTGCAGCAGTACCCTGGTGCAGCATTGTGCTACCCTGGTGCAGCACGGTGTACCTTGGTGCAGCACAGTGTACCCTGGTGCAGCACAGTGTACCTTGGTGCAGCACAGTACCCTGGTGCAGCACAGTGTACCCTGGTGCAGCACAGTGTACCCTTGCGCAGCACGGTACCCTTGGTGCAGCACAGTGTACCCTGGTGCGAACAGTGTACCCTGGTGCAGCACAGTGTACCCTGGTGCAGCACAGTGTACCTTGGTGCAGCACAGTGTGCCTCGGCAGACTGTGCTACCTTGCGCAGCACAGTGTACCCTGGTGCAGCACAGTACCCTGGTGCAGCACAGTGTACCCTGGTGCAGCACGGTGTACCTTTTGCGTTAACAGTACCTGGCGCGCACAGTGTACCCTGGTGCAGCACAGTGTACCCTGGTGCAGCACAGTACCCTGCAGCACAGTGTACCTTGGTGCGCAGCACAGTCTGGTGCACAGTGTACCCTGGCGCGCACAGTATAATCTGGTGCAGCACAGTGTACCCTGAGTGTAATAGTACCTGGCGCAGCACAGTGTACCCTGGTGCGTTACCAGTGTACCCTGGTGCGAAAGCACCCTGGTGCAGCACAGTGACCTGGTGCAGCACACGTGTACCCTGGTACGTTAGTAAGTACCCTGGTGCGCGCACAGTGTACCCTGGCATCATAGTGGAACCTGCGCAGCAGTGTGCACCTGGTGCAGCAGTGTACCCTGGCGGATCAGTGTACCCTGGCAGCACAGTGTACCCTGGTGCAGCACTATGTACCCTGGCAGCACAGCGTAACCTGGTGCGCACAGTAAATCCTGGTGCAGCACAGTGTACCTTTGGTGCAGCACAGGCATCCTGCGCAGTACCTTGGTGCGTCACTGGTACCCTTGTGCAGCACAGCACCTGGTGCGCATCAGTAAACCTGCAGCAGCACAGTGTACCTTGGTGCAGCACAGTGTACCTTGGTGCAGCATTGTGAACCCTGGTGCAGCACAGTAACCCTGGTGCAGCACAGTAAATCCTGGTGCAGCACAGTGTACCTTGGTGCAGCACAGTGTACCCTGGTGCAGCAGGTACGGCAGCAGTGTACCCTGGTGCGTAAATGTACCTGGTGCAGCAGTGTACCCTGGTGCAGCACAGTGTACCCTGGTGCAGCACAGTGCACCTTGGTGCAGCACAGTGTACCCTGGCAGCACAGTGTACCCTGGTGCAGCACGGTGTACCTTGGTGCAGCACAGTGTACCCTGGTGCAGCAGAGTGTACCCTGGTGCAGCACAGTGCACCTGGTGCAGCACAGTGTACCTGGTGCAGCACAGTGTACCCTGGTGTAGTCCTGGTGGCAGCACAGTGCACCTGGTGCAGCACAGTGTACCTTGGGCAGCACAGTGTATCCTGGTGCAGCACAGTGATCCAGCACAGTGTACCCTGGTGCAGCACAGTGTACCCTGGTGCAGCATCAGTACCCTGGTGCGGAATAGTACCCTGGTACAGCACAGTACCCTGGTACGTTACTGCGGCACCTTGGTGCAACAGTGTACCCTGGTGCGTTATGGTGCGTATCTTTGCGCAGCACAGTGTACCCTGGTGCAGCACAGTACCTGGTGCAGCACAGTGTACCCTGGTACAGCACAGTACCTGGTGCAGCACAGTACCCTGGTGCAGCACAGTGTACCTTGGTGCAGCACAGTGTACCCTGGTGCGTCACAGTGTACCCTGGTGCAGCATCAGTGTACCTTGGTGCGACAGGCAGTACCCTGGTGCAGCACAGTGTACCCTGGTGCAGCACAGTAAAACTTTGGTGCAGCACAGTGTACCCTGGCAGCACAGTACCTGGTGCAGCACTGGGTACCTTGGTGCAACAGTGCCCTGATGCAGCACAGTGTACCCTGGTGCAGCACAGTGTACCCTGGTGCAGCACAGTGTACCCTGGTGCAGCACAGTGTACCCTGGTGCAGCATTGTGCTACCCTGGTGCAGCACAGTGTACCTTGGTGCAGCACAGTGTACCCTGATGCAGCACAGTGAACCCTGGTGCAACATGTACCTTGGTGCAGCACAGTGCACCTTGGTGCAGCACCAGTGTACCCTGGTGCAACAGTACTCTGGTGCAGCACAGTGTACCCTGGTGCAGCACAGTAACCTTGCGCGTTAATAGCGTACCCTGGTGCAGCACAGTGTACCCTGGTACGTTAATACCTGGCAACACAGTATATTCTGGTGCAATAGTACCTGGTGCAGCACAGTGTACCCTGGTGCAGCACAGTGTACCTGGTGCAGCACAGTGTACCCTGATGCACAGCACCCTGGTGCGAACAGTGTACCCTGGCGCGGCACAGTGTACCCTGGTGCAGCACAGTGTCCCTGGTGCAGCACAGTGTACCCTGGTGCGTTACAGTACCCTGGTGCAGCACAGTGTACCCTGGTGCAGGACAGTGCGTACCCTGGTGGAGCACAGTGTACCCTGGCAGTATTCCTGGTGCAGAATAGTGTACCTCTGGTGCGCACGGAAGTATCCCTGGTGCAAGCACCTGGTGCGACAGCGTACCCTGGTGCAGCACAGTACCCTGGCGTTATACCCTGGTGCCACAGTGTACCTTGGTGCAGTTAATAGTAATCTGGTGCAGCACAGTACCCTGGTGCGCAGCACAGTGTACCCTGGTGCAGTTAATAGTACCCTGGTGCAGCACAGTGTACCCTGGTGCAGCACAGTGTACCTTGGTGCAGCAATAGTACCCTGGTGCAGCAATAGTGTACCTTGGTGCAGCATTAGTACCTTGGTGCAGCACAGTGTACCCTGGTGCAGCACAGCGTACCCTGGTGCATTAATAGTACCTGGTGCAGCACAGTGTACCCGGTGGCAGCACAGTACCCTGGTGCAGCACAGTGTACCCTGGTGCAGCACAGGACCTTGGTGCAGCACAGTGTACCCTGGTGCAGCACAGTGTACCCTGGTGCAGCAACAGTGTACCCTGGTGCAGCACAGTGTACCCTGGTGCGTAATAGTAGGCTCCTGGTGCTAACAGTGTACCCTGGTGCAGCACAGTGTACCCTGGTGCAGCACAGTGTACCCTGGTGCAGCATTGCAATTTCCTTGGAGCACAGTGTACCCTGGTGTAATAGTGTACCCTGGTGCAGCACAGTGTACCCTGGTGCAGCACAGTGTACCCTGGTGCAGCAATTGTACCCTGGTGCAGCACAATGACTAAGAACATGGTGGATAATGAAGAAATAAAAGAGAAATAAGAAGACTTACTTATAATTGGTGACCATTTGACTGATGATGGAAGAGACTTGTAGTCCAGTGAGTAGACAGGTGTCCAGCCGTTTGCCGTCTGCGCCCAAACTTTAGTTCCACCTTCACCACAGGAGGCGAGGAGGCAACAGTTGCTGCTCCACTCTAAACATTGAACACGACCCTGTAAAAGGCATCACTTATATTAACTTGTTTTTCATTCTGCAGTACCTTTAAAGTCTCCTCCACCCACACACACACACCTTGACCACCGAAGGGTCAAGGCCTGTTCAGGCGCTGCTCCTGCTGCCCCCCTTGGCCATGTCGGCCCACTCCCCAAGTCCCTCTCCCCGACCCATCCTCACCACCGAGATATCAGCATAATAAAAAGTGACAATATCGTTTCGGAAAAAAGTGGGATCAGTGTTGAACAGTGATAAACAGTGTTTAAGCCAGTGAATTCAGCACAAGACAGTACCAGTGAGAACAGTGACCCACCACTGAGATAAGCACCCCTGGGAACCATCCTCTGACCAGATGGTGTTAATCCATCCACCCTGGGAACAACAGCAGGTCGGCTTTACACCTGACTACGAGATAACACAACATCACCGAGCAGAGAATGAGGTACTGTGACACCACCCCACACCACACAGTGTCCCCATGACCATGTGAGGTCCTTCATGTCAACACCCAAGGACGAGTTACTGCACCACCTAAACACCACACCACCCGGTGCCTCCATGACCACGTGAGGTCCTTCATGTCAACACCACCTAAGGACGAGTTACTGCACCACGCGAACACCACACCAGCCCAGGCCATCAACTGTAAACAATAATAATTTGTATGTTCAATTCATGGTTCTTCTTCTTCAGTAATGAGCTTTGTTAAACTACCCACCCACAACATGTCTTTGTATGTATGATGTCATTTTTGTCCAATGTATTTTCAGCTCGGGCTGCGGAAGTTTTTTCAATAAACCGTTAATTATTTACACACACACACACACCCAAGCCAGCTACCCACCTGCCCACCCACCCATGCAGGCACGGACGGACGGACGCACACACACACACACACACACACACACCCAGCAGCCACCACCTGCCCACCCACCCATGCAGGCACGGACGGACGGATGCAAACACACACACACACACCCAGCCAGCCACCCACCTGCCCACCCACCCATGCAGGCACGGACGCACGCACGCACACACACACACACACACACACACCCAGCCAGCCACCCACCTCACCCACCCATGCAGGCACGGACGCACGCACGCACGCACACAACACCCAGCCAGCCACCCACCCATGCAGGCACGGACGGACGCACGCACACACACACAAAACAAGAGTGAGAAAGAAGAGTCTACTATTTTTACACAAGTTTTACTTTCATGAATAATTTCCTCATTTTAAAATTCTGTCTATAACGCTCTGAGTTGAAATGCCCAAACATCATTACAGGAACAATAAATGTGTGTTATGCCAGCCTACATCACTACTGGTTGTCATGGACCTGAAATAGAAATACATATATGTTACAGTACGGTACAATACAGTACTGTACTGTATGTCAAATAATGCACACCTTCATTATCCTCTACACAGAGAACATTTACTACTGCTGTCTGTACCACACATGTTGTCTGTAATTCACATGTTGTCTGTACTTACACATGTTGTCTGTACCACATAGTTGTCTGTACCATGTTGTTCACATGTTGTCTGTACCACATTTTGTCTGTACTCACATGTTGTCTGTACCTCACATGTTGTCTGTACCACACATGTTGTCTGTACCACATGTTGTCTGTACCACATCATGTTGTCTGTACCACACATGTTGTCTGTACCTCACATGTTGTCCACACATGTTGTCTGTACTTCACATGTTGTCTGTACCCACATATGTTGTCTGTACCTCACATGTTGTCTCGTACCTCACATGTTGTCTGTACCACACATGTTGTCTGTAACTCACATGTTGTCTTCACATGTTCATTACATGTTGTCTGTACCACATGTTGTCTGTACCATACGTTGTCTGTACCACACATGTTGTCTGTACCTCACATGTTGTCTGTACCACACATGTTGTCTGTACTCCTACATGTTGTCTGTACCTAACATGTTGTCTGTACCACACATGTTGTCTGTACCACATATGTTGTCTTCACACATGTTGCTCTCATCTTCCACATGTTGTCTGTACCACATTGTCTGTACCACATGTTGTCTGTACCACACATGTTGTCTGTACCACACATGTTGTTGTACCACATGTTGTCTGTACCACACATGTTGTCTGTACATCACATGTTGTCTGTACCTCACATGTTGTCTGTACCACACATGTTGTCGTAGCATTCACATGTTGTCTGTACCACACATGTTGTCTGTACCTCACATGGTCTGTACTCACATGTTGTCTGTACCACCATGTTGTCTGTACCTCACATGTGTCTGTACCACACATGTTGTCTGTACCACACATGTTGTCCTTACTAACATGTTGTCTGTACCACACATGTTGTCTGTACCACACATGTTGTCTGTACCACATGTTGTCTGTACCACACATGTTGTCTGTACCACACATGCGTCTGTACTCACATGTTGTCTGTACCACACATGTTGTCTGTACCACACATGTTTCTGTAATTCACATGTTGTCTGTACCACACATGTTGTCTGTACCACACAATGTTGTCTGTACCTCACATGTTGTCTGTACCACACATGTTGTCGCCACATGTTGCTGTCTACCACTGTTGTCTGACCTTACACATGTTGTCTGTACCACACATGTTGTCTGTACTAACATATGTTGTCTGTACCACATTTGTTTGTCTGTACCACATGTTGTCTGTACCTCACATGTTGTCTGTACCTCACATGTTGTCTGTACCTCACATGTTGTCTGTACCACACATGTTGTCTGTAATTCACATGTTGTCTGTACCACATGTTGTCTGTAATTCACATGTTGTCTGTACCACTCATGTTGTCTGTACCACACATGTTGTCTGTACCTCACATGTTGTCTGTACCTCACATGTTGTCTGTACCACACATGTTGTCTACACTTGTGTCTGTACCTCATATGTTGTCCACATGTTGTCTGTATCACATGTTGTCTGTACCACACATGTTGTCTCGTAACACATGTTGTCTGTACCACACATGTTGTCTGTAATTCACATGTTGTCTGTACCACACACATGTTGTCTGTACCACACATGTTGTCTGTACCACACATGTTGTCTGTACAGTCTGTACCCACATGTTGTCTGTACCACACATGTTGTCTGTACCTCACATGTTGTTCACTCACATGTTGTCTGTACCACACAGTTGTCTGTACCACATGTTGTCTGTACCACACATGTTGTCTACACATGTTGTCTGTACACATGTTGTCTGCACACATGTTGTCTGTACCACACATGTTGTCTGT